TACTGAATTTCTGAATTTCTGAATTACTGAATTACTGAATTTCTGAATTTCTGAATTTCTGAATTTCTGAATTCCTGAATTTCTGAATTTCTGAATTTCTGAATTTCTGAATTTCTGAATTTCTGAATTTCTGAATTTCTGAATTTCTGAATTACTGAATTTCTGAATTTCTGAATTTCTGAATTTCTGAATTACTGAATTACTGAATTTCTGAATTACTGAATTACTGAATTACTGAATTACTGAATTTCTGAATTTCTGAATTTCTGAATTACTGAATTTCTGAATTTCTGAATTTCTGAATTACTGAATTACTGAATTACTGAATTTCTGAATTTCTGAATTTCTGAATTCCTGAATTTCTGAATTTCTGAATTTCTGAATTTCTGAATTTCTGAATTTCTGAATTTCTGAATTTCTGAATTTCTGAATTTCTGAATTTCTGAATTTCTGAATTTCTGAATTTCTGAATTTCTGAATTTCTGAATTTCTGAATTTCTGAATTCCTGAATTTCTGAATTCCTGAATTTCTGAATTTCTGAATTTCTGAATTTCTGAATTTCTGAATTACTGAATTTCTGAATTTCTGAATTTCTGAATTTCTGAATTTCTGAATTACTGAATTTCTGAATTTCTGAATTTCTGAATTACTGAATTTCTGAATTACTGAATTACTGAATTACTGAATTACTGAATTTCTGAATTTCTGAATTTCTGAATTACTGAATTTCTGAATTTCTGAATTTCTGAATTACTGAATTACTGAATTACTGAATTTCTGAATTTCTGAATTACTGAATTTCTGAATTTCTGAATTACTGAATTACTGAATTTCTGAATTTCTGAATTTCTGAATTTCTGAATTCCTGAATTTCTGAATTTCTGAATTTCTGAATTTCTGAATTTCTGAATTTCTGAATTTCTGAATTTCTGAATTTCTGAATTACTGAATTTCTGAATTACTGAATTTCTGAATTTCTGAATTACTGAATTACTGAATTTCTGAATTACTGAATTACTGAATTACTGAATTACTGAATTTCTGAATTTCTGAATTTCTGAATTACTGAATTTCTGAATTTCTGAATTTCTGAATTACTGAATTACTGAATTACTGAATTTCTGAATTTCTGAATTTCTGAATTCCTGAATTTCTGAATTTCTGAATTTCTGAATTTCTGAATTTCTGAATTTCTGAATTTCTGAATTTCTGAATTTCTGAATTTCTGAATTACTGAATTTCTGAATTTCTGAATTACTGAATTACTGAATTTCTGAATTACTGAATTACTGAATTACTGAATTACTGAATTTCTGAATTTCTGAATTTCTGAATTTCTGAATTTCTGAATTTCTGAATTTCTGAATTACTGAATTTCTGAATTTCTGAATTTCTGAATTTCTGAATTCCTGAATTTCTGAATCTCTGAATTTCTGAATTACTGAATTTCTGAATTTCTGAATTTCTGAATTACTGAATTTCTGAATTTCTGAATTTCTGAATTTCTGAATTTCTGAATTTCTGAATCTCTGAATTACTGAATCTTTGAATTTCTGAATTTCTGAATTTCTGAATTTCTGAATTACTGAATTTCTGAATTTCTGAATTTCTGAATTTCTGAATTACTGAATTTCTGAATTTCTGAATTACTGAATTACTGAATTACTGAATTACTGAATTTCTGAATTTCTGAATTTCTGAATTTTTGAATTTCTGAATTTCTGAATTTCTGAATTACTGAATTTCTGAATTTCTGAATTACTGAATTTCTGAATTTCTGAATTACTGAATTTCTGAATTTCTGAATTACTGAATTTCTGAATTTCTGAATTTCTGAATTACTGAATTTCTGAATTTCTGAATTTCTGAATTTCTGAATTTCTGAATTTCTGAATTTCTGAATTTCTGAATTTTTGAATTTCTGAATTTCTGAATTTCTGAATTTCTGAATTACTGAATTTCTGAATTTCTGAATTTCTGAATTTCTGAATTACTGAATTTCTGAATTTCTGAATTTCTGAATTACTGAATTACTGAATTACTGAATTTCTGAATTTCTGAATTTCTGAATTTTTGAATTTCTGAATTTCTGAATTTCTGAATTTCTGAATTACTGAATTTCTGAATTACTGAATTTCTGAATTTCTGAAAAATTGCAGCCAAATTACAGGCAAATTTTTCTCTGAATTTTTGCGCTAATTTTCAGACAGTTTTATTCATTTTTTTCAGAAAAATTATAAATTCAGACTCTCACAGGATTCAAAATTCCAAAAATAATAATGAAATATGAAACTGAAAAAAATTGGGCTTTTAATGAAAACTGGGGATTTCAAAACGAAAATCCAAAAATCTGAAATTCTGAAAATTCAAAAAACTGAATTCCTGAATTTTCGAATTTGTGGAAATTTTCAGCTAAATTTTCAGCAAAACTAACTCTTCAAGATCCCGAATAATGTCCTGTTTTCGATCGTACTCCTTCTTGTATTCCGTATAATGTTCCCATTCTTTGGCCGTTTCCTCAGCCTTATTCTTCATTTCCTTCGCACTAGCTCTCAATAATGCCGCTCGTTCTCTATAACCTGCACACGATTTGCAATTATTCAAATTTCCCATTTTTGTAGGCTTTTTTGCCGATTGCTCATCCTTAATTTTTTCATTTTCCTCTTCTTCCTCTTTTATCTCTTCATCTGATTTTGCTTCTTTCGATAATCCAGGCGGGACCATAGGGGCGGAGCTTCCCGGAATTGTTGCTGGTGGGCGGAGATTCATGAGATCATCGATTTTGGATTTTGTGTATGTTGTGCAGCCGTTCTGAAATTGTTTGTTTTCAACATTTGTCTAGCTACCGTAGTTTTAGAGCTGTGAGTCTCTCAAAGTGAGACACCTACGGGCAGGGGACGCGTCTTCAAAGGCACATATCTCCAAAATTACAGTATCTAGAAAGAGTTTGGAAGATATGCGCCTTTAAAGATAACGCGCCCTCTCCCCTTACACAGTGGGGATTAGCCTCCGAGGAGGGGAAGGGATATCTTTAAAGGCGCATATCTCGAAAACTACAGTACCTAGCAAAGTTTTGTAATTTACAAAAATGTGTAAAATTGAATTTTACACATTTTTATAACTTACTACTTATATCTAGCAACCGTAGTTTTAAAGATATGCGCCTTTAAAGTTGACCTGCTTCCTGCCGCTTCAACCCTCCCCTCTCCGCTGTTGCCGCGGTTTTGGGTCGGATAGCTTTAAAAAAGCATATCTCAAAAACTACAGTAGCTATCAGAAACTGGTCAAGTACAAAATTGTGGAAAAAAAAATTTACAGCTTTTTGCCATGAACAACGTTTGTCTAGCTACCGTAGTTTTTGAATTATACGCTTTTAAAGTTGACCTGCTTCCTGGCGCCCCAACCCTCCGCTACCTCCGCCGGCATCTGGCATTTTTAAAGGCGCATATCTCAAAATCCAAAAAAGTTATCAAATAGTTGTCAACTACAAAAATAAACCTCTAGTTTTGCTTTGTATATGCTGAAATTTCCAAAAAATTTGGCTGAGGTTGAACTACTTTTGTAAGGGTTCAAAAGTTCAGAAAGTTTAACGTTTCAGCAACGTTTCTAGCTTTTAACCAATTTTTTAAGCTCAAAAAACCCCTACCAGGTACTTCAATGCATCCTTCTGAATGTCCTCGTTTAACAAATGAAGTGCGGATTGTCCAACGAGCTCGCGGAGCTCTCGATCCGATTTCTCGGTGAAGAAACTTTTGATCCAATGGATTTGCATCAAAAATCTCTGCATTCCAATCAGCATACACGTCGGACGACCACCGCCTTCCGGCATGTCTTCGAATGGTGTCAGACCGTAGTAATCGAGAGCTTTGAAGTAGTTGGTCGTATCGAAGTATTCGCTTCCACCGTAGTCTTGATACGCGTAATCCGGAGAATTCGAGGTGTCAGGTACTTGTATGGACACATTCTCCGAATCTCCTCCACTTGTTCGACGACGTACGACACTTCAATGTAGGAACCCTGAAAAAATGCTTGTTTTTGTCGTTTTAGTGATAATCTGATAAACATTTTATCAGTTCACAACGTTTGGATATCTTTTACCGGAAATGAGATAACTTGCGTCAAAGTGAGCAGCCGATCATGTAGCTCAGGCGGCAAGCGTCCGCTGCCAACTTGCTGACTTTGAGCCCATTTATCTCAGTCCCTCTAATAGATATCAAAAAATTGTCAACTGATAAAATGTTACTGATATTATGGAAAACATTTTATTAGTTGACAACTTTTTGGGTACCGAGCTCGAATT